CCTGCCGCCGCGACCGGACGAGATAACTCTCCCCCAAAGGGGTCGTTTTCCCCCCGCCGATTCAGGCGGGTAGTATAGACCTAGCCTAAGATTCCATGGGAGAACGCAAAGTTCTCAGCCTGCCAAGGTCCCATTGGGGAAGTATGACTGAAGACAGGACTCAACAAACGACTGCAAAGAAGAGAGTTCTCACAGTTTCACCATTCTACATTTGTGATGTAAAATGCTTTACACTAGAGATGGCAGGGATGTGCAGAGTGGTTATGAATTTGCGTCTATGCAAAGAACATGATATCCCATTTCCTGAGAAAGACTTGAAGAGCTACGCTTTCAGAAGAAGAAAAAAAAAACCACAAAAAAACCCCACAAAACAAACAAAAAAACCCACAAAACAAACCTTTTCCTTGGCTTTCCCATTTTTAGACTTGTTCATTACAGCAGGATTGGCACCATCTACTGCTTCCAGAGCAGAACTGCACCCACTTAACATGCGCAGGACAGCTTGTTTTACAATGCCGCTTATTGCAAACCTCAATACCTGCCTCGTAATCTGAGAAACATTCTAGGAGGTTTTAATGGAAAGACTAGAATTTGATGGGGTGGGAAGCATTTGCTGGACACACCAAGTTAATTAACTCCTTCGTGGGTGGCCCATAGCTTTAGTGCTTTAATTTCTGTGCGAGGCAGGTGGGATAATTGTGGGACTGCCCAGGAACATATATAAAAAAAAAGTTACCCCTGTTCAACCATCCCAATATCAAATCTTAAAGATACCATTTCTATACTGAAATACTGAGAGCAAAAGTGCAGTAGAAGCCCGAACTACTGAATCTTCAGAGCAACCCTGAGTTGCAAGCGTAACTATCCCCATTTTATTAGGTAGGGAAACCAAGGCACAGCAGTTACACAACTTGCTCAAGGCCACCCAGAGAATAAGTGGCAGAGCCTTGGAAGGCCTGGCTTCCAGCCTCAAGCTCCACTGACTAGACCACGCTTCTTCTCAACACCGAGCAAGGAAGCCATAGATTTTTTTTGACAAGATATCAGGCTCCAAGCACATCATTTTGTACATGTTTGAGATCGTTCATTAAAAATGCATGTTGGATTAGATGAGCTGAGAGCTCCTTTTCTCCTCATTTCTACTGTATGGTATTATTTAAGGTTTATACAAAGCCATAAGAGTGAGTCATATTTAAGTAAATAAAAACTAACCTGCCAAATCTACATTTGTTTCATTTTTGTATAGCAAGTGGATAGGGCACTGGCCCTGGACTTAAGAGACCTGGGCTCAACTCCTCAGTCTGCCACTGGCCTGCTGGGTGACTTTGAGCAAGTCTTTTTCCCTCAGTTTTCCCCATCTGTAAAATGGAGATAATAATCCTGACCTCCTTTGTAAGCCACTTTGAGATCTACTGATGAAAAGTGCTGTATAAAAGCCACGGATTGTTATGTCTAAATATGGGCTCACTCCACAAAAGTTTGGATCCAGATCCAAACTTTCTTGAATTCCATGTTTAGATCCAGGGCTTCCACTCAGACCTTTATAGTAATAGCGGGTAGCCAGGAAGTTTGCAGATCTGAACCTTCCCAAAGCCTGCATTGATTCAGATCCACTTACAAGAGATTTAAATGAAAGTCAGTTGAGTAATTCTCATGCAGACCTGGGATTTAAGTTTGGGCCCCGTATGTCTGACTATATCCAGCGTGGCAAAAGGAATAATTATAACTATCTTCAGCTATACCTCTTTGGTATCATCCTCTGCTCCATTGGGGGCCGCTGAACAGAGCACCAGGTACTGAGTAGCTCCACTTGCCGGCTGCCAGCTCAGTCTTAGATGGTTATGGCTCACTTCAGACGCTCTCAGGGAAAGGGGTGGTGACAAAGCTACTCAGATGAAGGAAAACGTAACAAAAAGATTCACAAGGCAGTTGATCATTTCTATCCTTAACCCCTCCCGTCACCCGCACACACACACAAAGATTCAAGGTTATCGAAACTGTACATCAGAGCAAAACAGTTCGGTTAAAGCTATTTTAGGAGATGTGTATATGATGCTTCTATAACAGAGAATCATCAGAATCCGGTCAGAAGGTCTTATTGGCTGTTCCTGTTGGCGGGGAATATCTTTGACATGTGGAACAAAGACATCCACAAGGGGGGAGGGATAGCTCAGTGGTTTGAGCATTGGCCTGCTAAACCCAGTGTTGTGAGTTCAATCCTTGAGGGGGCCACTTAGGGATCTAGGACAAAAAAAAAATCAGAAATGTATCACTCCCATCACAATCTTTCCTTGTCACGTGGTCATTTAACACCAAACTTTCCTTCAAGATAGATATTGTTTGGCAAATATTAGCAATAAAAAAGAAACAACGTGCAGAGAAGGTACAAAGACTTGGGAACCTTTGAACAAATTTGACAGCAGTTAGGCAGCTGAGACGACTGCCTATCATACCAACCAATCTTGTCTCATTGTTTCCTTGTGCTCCCCTATCTGTATCTACCTCTTGGCTCTTGCCTGACACTTAGCTTGTAAGATCTTTGGGCCAAGTAAGAGTGTGAATACACTACCTAGCACAATGGGGTCCTGGTCTCCTAGACACTTCCACAATACAAGTTAATTACCATTTGGAACAGAGGGGGAAAATCAGAAGCAACGGGATCAAAAGCCTTTCTAGAAATTGATATAGTCCCAGCAGGGCAATTTAAAGGTTTAATTTAAACTCCCTAATAGCAGTACCTGTAAAACATCTACCTCATGAGGCTTGTCTCTGCCTTTGCAAGTTTCAGCAGCCGACCCAGAGTTCTTCCCCCGGCTCACACCAATCAGCCCCAGTCAGTCTCAGTGTTTAACGGCATGAATGCATTTGCAAGATCTATTTTTACATTGGCTCTTTCTTGACCCTTCGGGGGACGTTCTGGGGAAAATCCGAGCACAAAAATCTCCCTCTTTCAATTATTGCATCACAAGGGAACAGCAAGGATCTCCAACATTTTAAAAGAGCAGCAGCGGGTGAACAAGCCAAAAAAAAAAAATCCTTAAGGGAAGCATGTGTAGGAGGGTATATGAGCATGTGTACCATGCTTCCAGGCACAAAACTCCTGGGATGGGATGTCATTCCATTAGCATCTTCTAATTCAATCCTGAGAATGTGATCCAGGAATGGCTGAGTAAATGTACAGAGCTTAATTATAAAAACACCACAATCACTACAAAAAGCTCGAGGCTGAGTCCAGTCTATCTGGGTAACATTGTTTCTTCCTGCCAGAATACTAAATAGCTCATTTTCTCCCCTGAAGAACGTTCATTTTGTTTACGGTCAAACGTTATCTCCAGAAGTCCTGATTTACCTCAGTCATGCAAAAACACTTACTGAAGTCAAAGGGGATTTTGCCTGAAGCATCGAGATTCCCACACACACTTTTTTAAAAAAGTAGGGCATCACCTATATCCATAGCTTGCTTAAAGAGCTTCCTCAGACATACCCTATACATGGGGCAACCACTTGGGAGGTGGGGAAGTGCTGAGGCGATGAGGAAATCAGCACAGAGAGAACTGGGCCTAAGGAAGGGAGTGAAAGATGCTTGGGACATGGGAAGAGAGAAGCTGTACAAAGCAGAGAGGGATGCAGTGAAGGCTAGACTACTGCTCTCTACTCATGACCTACATGTCCAAGTGATGCCCCTCAGCCCATCTCCAACGGCATTTTCATAAATAGGAAACACTGAAACCAGGTATTCGGTGTGCGAGGTCAAATTGACAAGCTGGGTGGAGGAGGCAGATCCATCTAAAACTACCTGAAAAACACAGAGAAAGGCTGTAAGAAGTTGTGGCATCAGGAGTCGTGTAGCAGAGGAAGCAATCAGACAAACCAGCACCAGCCACAACTATACCTAGTGACCGTGCTGTGCCTTGAACACGAAGGCTGAAAGCCCTTGTAACTTCATACTAGCTAGCGTCACTCTAGACGCCTTCCTGCCTGCCCCCAATAAAGGAATAAGAGGCCTTCAATCAATAAAGCTTTTTCGTTTATTTTTCTGATCCTCAGCATCCACCATGAGTCACTGGTTCATGCTCAGTGTGACGTGGGAGCATCTCTGCTGGTGACATCACTGCCCCATGCTGCAGACAGGAACCAGCTCTGTTATTTAGGTTAGTTGCACCAACCCTCTTGTAGCTGGGGGGAGGGAGGAAATAAACTCTACTGAGATAGCAATGGCAGCATGCCAGGAAAGGAGAATTTAAGCAAATATAGACTGAAGAGTGGGGATGGCAGCTGAGAGACTCGGAATCTATTTCCCTAGTCTACTTTGCAACCACAGCAAATCATAGTAACAGTAGGAATGTGCCAAAGAGTGTGGCAGCCATGCAGGGAATCACAAACCGGGGCTGTCTGCTCAGATGAAAGCCTATAGGTGGAGGCATATATTTACTGAGCCGAAGGCTGCCCAACCCCACTCAAGTCAACGGGGTTATACAATTGTAATGGAGGAAGAACTACCAATAGCAAGGCCCTGAAAGTTTCAGCCAGGGCACCTTATTATTACTTCTATGTTTCCAACAGTATGCAAGATACTTTACAGATAAGAATGAAGGGCAGGTCCCTGCCCTGAAGAGCTTAGACAGCCTATAAATGAGGTGATGAGGATGGGGCAAGGGAGAGAAGAGAAAAGAGACAAGAAGAGACAAAATCAGCATAAGCATGACTCAAAAGTAAAGTTCTTGCCATTTCCATGTAACGTGCTGAAAATGTTGACACACACATCAGATTAAAAACCAACACACATTAGGCATGCAACTCCCATTGACTCCAATGAGAGTCGGGGTGCCTGACTGCTCTGTGTGTCCCTGAAAAGTCTACTCAAGTCTAGTCCAAGTCTGCTCTAGTTTCCTGCTGCCACACACATCTAAATACAGGATCTCCTACCTCTTTGGGGGTTCCTTCACTGGATGGGTAATATACAATCCTATATTTCTTTGGTGGTCTCAGCGGAGGAGTCCAGGAAAGGTGCATGCTTCTGGAGGTCACCTCTGATATCATAAGGTTGGTGGGACTCAGATGGGGACCAGTGTTGGCCAAGACAGCTTTCACAGAACTGCCTATGAGTTCAAAAAACTGTGATACCTTCTTATATTATCTTAACATGCCAAACGCACTTTCTACTTCTTTTTATCAAGTTACAGCCTTCTTCCCTAAACAGTAAGGAAGCATTCCAGCCTACCATGAACATTTAAAAGTTGGTCCAAGGGGAAATATAAAAATCCCATTGAGAACAAACTGTGTATTTTGTTGGAGGCTGAGAATATATTTTACATTTGAATATGAGTCACGGCTATCAATTCAACAGACAGCCCAGCATTTGCCAGTTCCAAATATCAGGGGTTGCGTAGCAGAGGAAGCAATCAAACAAACCAGCACCAGCCACAACTATACCTAGTGACCGTGCTGTGCCTTGAACACGAATGCTGAAAGCCCTTGTAACC